GCTTCTGGCAGAGGAAGCATGAGTTTTCCACCTTCAAGGGGTGTATCCTATGGGGTAGCCGGGTGGTAATCCCAACCTCGTTGAGGACTAGAGTCCTGCAGTCTCTGCATGAGGGACATCCGGGAATAGTCCGGATGAAGGCGTTAGCGCGCAGCCATCTTTGGTGGCCTGGACTCGATAAAGACATCGTGGCCCAGGTCCACGGGTGCACTGTTTGTCAACAGTCAAGGCCTGAGATGCCCCAGGCCCCAGTTCATAAGTGGGAGGAGACTCATACCCCTTGGTCGAGGGTCCATATCGACTATGCTGGCCCCTTTCAGGGGCAATTCTTCTTACTCCTCGTGGACAGCCATTCCAAGTGGCTAGAGGTCATGCCTGTCTCCTCCACTACTACTGCTAGGACCATCCAGGTGCTGAGAGGGATCTTCACATGGACTTCCAGATGTCATTGTCTCTGACAACGGGCCCCAATTCACCTCGTTTGAGTTTAAGGCTTTCCTCCAGGCCAACATGATCCGGCATGCCACATCTGCACCGTTCCATCCAGCTTCCAACAGTCAGACTGAACGGATGGTGCACACAACCAAGGATGCCTTCAAGAGGATCACTCACAGAAACTGACATCACAGGTTGGCGGACTTTCTTCTTTGCCACCGCACCACACCATGCACAGCTACTGGGAAGAGCCCAGCAGAACTCAGCTGAGGTCGCCGCCTCATCACTAAACTGGACAGGTTGTACCCAGACCGGGTGTCTTCACAGGTGTCACAGCCGCGGGCACCTAGGAGACTACAGGTGGGCAATCCGGTCTGGGCAAGGAACTATGGACCTGGACATCTCTGGGTCACAGCAGTGGTATGCAAGGTCTCTGGGCCGCTGTCATACGAAGTGGCCTTGGACGATGGTCGCGTGATCCGACGTCACATTGACCAACTGCGCTGGATGCTTCCCAGCAACTCTTCCACTCCTGGCTCTGCTCTTGGGGGGGTGAGGATAACAATTACGATTGTGGACCACGGTCTCTCTGACATCCCCAGGCTTCAGCTATTGCTCCAAACAGGGAGTCCGCAGAAAGGGGGTTTGCCATGGAGGCGGCTCCTGACTCTGGCACCTCCGGCACATACACGGGGGCCATGGGTTATTGGGGCACATCGGCCACTCAGGCCACTCCAGCTGCTGGTCTTGGGCTCAAGGGACAGTGCTCCCAAGAGGGGTCCATTGTGGACTTGGGGAATTCCACCCCCCCAAGGAACTCTGGCTTGGATTTAATGGATCCAGCCAGTCAGCAGCTGGGTGGGTCACCTTGGTCATGGCGGCAACAAAGTCCTGGTTTGCCTAGCCTGGCAGGCGAGCTGGCAGGCCAGGCACACACACCGGCCATGAGAAGATCAGGGCGGGCCAGAGATCCTCCCAAATACTTACAAGACTATGTACGGTCCTTGTCAGTTCATGGGCAGGCCTAGTAGTCTGGGTTAAGTAAAGGTAGCTCAAGAGGAGTGGGGAGTATGGCTGTAGCAAGATTGTAGTGTTGTGTATATATATGCAACGTAAGCAATGCAATGGAGTGTTGGAGTATTTAAAATAATCAGTGTGCCTTATTATTTTATCCAAGGGCGGAGGGGTGTTATGTCCTGGGCCGGCAGGCACAGGCTGCAGCGATTGGCCCGGGCAGACCACGGGGATGCCCGGGACAAGAAAGGCTGCTCCCAGACTTGCGTGCGTGCACAAGGTGGGAAAAGATCCCTTGCAATGATTGGCCAGCAGGGTACTGTGCAGGGGGGCTATAAAAGGGGGCCACACCATTTTGCAATCTGTTCTGTTGGTGTTTGCAATAAAGAAGGACTGTGTGAATGTGACCGTGCTTCGTCTCAATGCCTCTTCTTCGAGAACAGAACAGTTGGATATATGAGGTGTTGCTGAGCAGCAGCTCCAAGAAGAATGGATGTTTTGGATTGAATGGACACTTGGGAATTGGAGGTAGTGGGATGAAACAGACATCTGCATAGCTTGCCTTGAAGAAGTGAGGAAATAAAAAGGAAGTTAAAAAGTTTAAGATAGCTGAAAGATATGGTAGGAGACAAGAATATAAGGCTGTCTTGTAAAGGGGAAATTGGAAAGTTGAGGTCAAGCCCCACATCTAGCCCCTGACATTATCTCAGGACTAGGTCAAACCATAGACTCTACTTTGTGCTACTGAATAGTAAGTCTGCTGCTCTTATTGCATCTGTAAATAGCCACCCTGCAGCATTTTATTTGGGTTACATTAGGGAATGCCAAGCTAGAAGATTAGCTTATGAGCAATTGTGACTTTTGTCACTGGGAGTCAGGCAGCATATAAATTTAACAATATCATGACTTCATGTTTGGACTACTGCAACATGCTCTACATGGAACTACCACTTAAAAGTATTTGAAGTTTTAGTTGATGCAAATTGCAGTGGCATGGGCAGTTAAAGGTGCTAATTGTTTGGCACATGTGCCATTACTGCTCCATGAACTTCATTGGCTACCAGTTTGCTGCCAGATGTAATTCAATGTGCTCATAATTACCTTTAAAACCAGGTTACTTAAAGCCAGGTCCATCTCTTCTCAATTTCTACTCATCCTGTCTGATCAGGCAGGAGAGGCATTCTGTGGGTACCATCAACCAGGGGGTATCAGCTGACAGGCTCTGTAGAAGAGCCTTTCCTACCATGGGGATGCATCACTTGGAGCATCCTCTTCCTGAGATTGGCCTTTTGTAAGGCTTTGAAGACTGTTCTGTGCCAGAGTCTGTTTCTTGGCTATGTCAAGGGGTTTTTTTATAATTGTTTGGCTCTGTATGCTTCATTTTAATTGTGCATATTTTATTTGTTTGAATGTTGTGAGCCACCCAGAGTCATGTATTTGAAATGGGTGGCTATATAAATAAAATAAAATAAAATAAAATAAATTTAAGTTTGCAAAGCATCTGGAACTTAAAATCATTTGCATCTGTTCAGAATTGGTGGCTGGTCAGGTAAGTCTAGCTGAGATGATAGAAGAAACATCTTTTCCAGTGATTTGGGACTGATTTAAGCCTGTCAATCCGGAAAAAAATGAACAATATTCTCTGCATGATGTGATCTATTGATTACACCATTGTTGTCCTTAGTTGGGGAAAGCCTAAAGAGATGTCAGTGGCAAGGTACAAGCAGTGATTAATGCATCTTTAGGGAAGAAGGAGGTGGTGGATCCACTTCCAATTTATGAAGTCAGCCCTTGATATAGTTATTTTGAATACTTAACTGGTTTCAAACAAACCTAGGCTTAATGCCAGCAAGATATTATGACTAACTGATTCATCTATAATTCTAAATGAAATTATGTTCTTGAACTCAGAGGTCTCTAGAACAGCAAGTGGCCATGGCAAAGAAGGCTTTTGCACAACTTTTGTCAGGTATAACCATTTCTGAATCAGGAGACACTGCTGGATTGCCACATTGTCATTTTAGGTTTGGATTACTGCAATTCATTTTACATGGAACCCTTCCTATATAGAATACGGTGGCCCAAATAGTTATGGGTTTGCCTTGCCTTGTGACACCTTTACTGGAGAAGCTGCACTAGCTGCTGATTAACCAAGTTGTAATTTAAGGTGCTATTCTTTTAAAGCTCTATTTGCTCATAATCTGACTATCCCCAAGTGCACTTGCTCCAAGTGGAATGCCTACCTGGTGAGATCAGAAAGATAATTGTTTCCACTGTTAAACAAGATTATCAACACAAATCCAAATACTGAATTTTCTGATAGCCCTCCTTCTCTGTATAGTCTTTTCCTCAATTTAAGGACCGCCTGGTCACTACAATGTTTCTATTAGCATTGAAAATCTGGCTCTGTCAGGAAAGGGTTGACATAAATTGGAAGGTTGAATTATGAGCAGATTCAACAGACTACTGGAGCTGAAGCTTTATTGTTTGAATTATTTTAATCTATTACTGAATGCAGAAGCATAAATTGCTCAGAATCTTCTGAATGGACCGGCATAGAAGCTTGATATATATATTTTTTTAATATGTCAGAAACGCTTGAGTTATAAATAAGAGTATCTTGGAAATAAAACCATTGTGTTGTAGCCTGAATGGGAAAGTTGGAAAGGTATATTTAGACTACCAACTGCATTTCCTGCTGAGTGCAGAATTAATATTAAAGGATCTCTGTCAGCTGTCTTCCGAGCCTCTTGTTGTTAGTTGCAAAGTCGTGTCCGATCCACCGCGACCCGAAGGACAACGTTCCTCCAGGCCTTCCTGTCCTCTACCATCTTCTGGAGCCTCTAGAGCAGGGGTAGTCAACCTTGGCTCTTTTATGACTCGTGGACTTCAACTCCCAGAATTCCTGAGTCAGCTATGCTGACTCAGGAATTCTGGGAGTTGAAGTCCACGAGTCATAAAAGAGCCAAGGTTGACTACCCCTGCTCTAGAGTATATTCTGAGAGTCAACTATTTTCATAGTTTCCCTTCCCCTGATCATCCTTGTTATCTTTCGCTACTCCTATTTAAGTATCTTAAAATCTTTCTTAAAGTTGCCTATAACTTTAGATTCTCTTCGCTCAAGTCTGCAAAGAGAAAAAAAAACCCATTCTTGGTTGGATTGCTCCAGTAAAACCCCATTCCTACCACCAAGAAAACGCGGGACTCAAAAGACACCTTAAGAAAACCTTTTAATTAACAGACTTTCAGCAAAAAAGCACTAAAAGGGAACCCAGACGAGTTGTGGACACCAGAGGCTTTTGATCATTTACTTTACTCTCCCGCCTTACAGGTCAAGAGATCCAGAGCCAATCCGGAGAGGAATCTGGCAAAAGAAGCCTCTTTCTTCTCTCCGTCCCTCGGAAAGAACACCGAGTCGGGAGGAACGATGGGAAGGAAGGGCAGAAAGTTTCATAAACAGGAAGCGGCGGGTCGCGCGGAAACGAAGTCATAAATAGGCAGCCGGATCTTGGCTATGATAATTCGGCAGCTTCTGATTTGATCACCTCCGGGGGGGTGGGGGCGATGTTGAGCGGTTTTTGCGCTAGAGCCGGTTTAAACGGGAAGCCAGTTCCTATAACGTAGGCCGGAACTAAATACTCCTGTGTCGGAGAGCGAGCTGCAAGCTGCCGGTTGTTAAGTGCCACTTCCCTGCGGCCCATGGCCGAAGAGGAAGCCGCCCCGGTAGCGGGGCCCGCCGCGGCGTCTAGCCAAGGGAACGAGAAAACGGGAGAAACGGGCGATACCGGCGTTGATTGGGTAGAAAAGTTGCGCGACGAGTGTGAGCCCGAGCAGCACTGGCAATACCGGCGGGAGTTCTTGATTCGCAATGCGGAGGGTCTGTCCGTAAGCGGAAAGGACGACGCCGACCACGCGGAGCTCCGTCGCCTGGTCTCTTTCTCCAGGGTGTGGGCCAACCACGTCTTCCTGGGTTGTCGGTAAGTTGGTGGCAGTAATCTTTTTGGTGAAGAATTACAAATTTAAGTAACGTGCTTTCAAGAAACGGTGCATTTTAGTATAGTAAAAGTAGCGGGAGAAGAAGATTCTGATGTTGGGATTTTTTCTATTTTTTTAAATTCCATCTTCAATATTTTTATAAATAACTCAAGCCGGTAAACATACCAAATACTCCTCCCTCCTATTTTTGCCACAAGAAGCCTATAAGGTTTGGCTGAGAGAGAGAGTGGCCCAAGGTCACCCAGCCAGCTTTCACGGATAAGACGGGACTAGAGCTCAATCTCCTAATTTCTAGCCTGGTGCCTTAGCCAATAGAACTGGCTCTCTGTTTTAAATGTAGTTGTCTTTTCTAGCTAGCTGATACAAATGCTTCAACAGCTATCTTATTTGCAGAGAAAATGGTACCATATGAGATTTGTTCTTGGGGAGGAGGAGGCTTGGAAGATTGCTTTGAAGTCTCCCACATTTGAAAATTTGCAAGATGGTCATCTTTTATTCTACTTTGTCTTACAAAAGCCACAGTGGCAAATGTGGAAATCCTTAAGTGGTTTTTTGTGTATCTGCATCTAGTTATTGCAGCTGCTATTATGATAAAGTATAATGTCTTTATTTGGTATGACTGACCTCTGTTTTAGGGCAGAATATAATGGTTCTAATACATTGTAATTCTTGGCTAATCTTCCCAAATAAATTTCCTGTTTACTATTTTTCTTCCATGCCCAGATTTAGAGGATTGAAGGGAAAGTATTGCTGTAATACTTATGGGGCACTTACAATTAAACTATCCCCATTGACTTGAGGATTGCATTTTTCTTTTCACTGAAATGCTTGATTCTTGCTTTCAGTCTGTTGGTGTTACTTTTGATAAGTCATCCTAAATGTTTTCTGTTCACATAATATAAACCTTTACATGTAGCATAATAGTTGAATCAACATTCAGTGAGTAGAAATCCTTGTAGTAACTTGTCTAATGCCTCCATTGTAATCTCTTGGGATGAACCTAATAAGTTTTATTAGCCCAAGTACATATACTTGATATTTGTTTTTGTTTTTTTAAAAAAAATCAAGGCTTTGAGCTTTTCTTTATTGTAGTTTATATTACAATTTAACAATTGTACATCACCTTGACATTCTAAACAGAATAATGCTTTAAACAGCTTAACTAAATAGTTTAACATGCAGCAACCCAATGCTTGTGTTTTAGAAGCCTTTGATGCTTTAAATGTCATGAATACAGAATCCATTTTCCTCAAAGTGCTAATTTCTATCTTTTCCTGCTTAGATATTCTCCGCAAGTGATGGAAAAGGTGATGGACATGGCTGTAGGCATCACAGTGATCAATGCTCCAACCCACACTCTGAGAGATGAACTGGTTGCCAAGGTGAAACGAGGCATATCCAGTAGCAATGGTTAGCAGATCATAGCTGGCAAATACACATAGGAATATATATTTAACCAAATACATGTTAGCTTATTTGTTAAAATTGTTAATACTTAGAAATAATTTAATTACTGCTTTGATAATTCTTAAATTTTTTAAAGTTTGTACGGTGATTTTTTAAGTTGATGGTGTTAACTAGCACTAAATAGTTACAATTCATAATTCAATTTGCCTTTTTACATACCCCCAAAAGAACCCAAAATGAAAAAGCTCCATTTTTTTATCCAAATTATAAATTCATGGGAGAGGTTATTTTTCTTTTGTATTAACTATAAACTTTTTGCAAAATCCAATTATTTCATTAGAGGTATGGTTAGACTTTAAGGTAAAAGTAAGTAGATTCTTTGTCTCTAGTTCTCTTGGTAGTGTTTTATGGAAATAAGGTTACTTGTATTTACTCAGAATTACATACATAATTTGTTTATGCTTTCCAGAAGGTCCTTGCAAGAAGCAGGCTGTTGGTGCTGACAAACCATTTGAAGTTAATAATGAAAAGTCTACAAAGGCAGAGTTGAGGGTGGAAACAGATAAGGAATCTTTAAAGAATCTAGAAAAAGATATATCAAAACCCCCAGAGAACTCTCAGTCTTTGCCTACAGCAGCTTCAGCCTTGACCCAAAAGGTAGAGCCTACAACAGCTTCAACCATATCTCAGAAGACAAAATCTGCTTCAGCTTCAAAATTGACTCCCAATGTTGTGCCTGCAGCAGCTTCAGCTGTGACCCAGAAGATAGCTCCTGCAGTATCTTTAACTGGAGGAAGAATAGAAAGCAAAGCTGCTAATTATGAATCTACACCAGCTATTAAGCACAAATCTGAAAATGTCTTACCAGCTGAAAAGAAAGTTGGCTTGGAAAGTACTACAGTATTAGCTTCAAAAAGTAGTTCACAGACAAGCGTAGCCCCTATTAAAGTGCCCTGCAAATTGTTGACAAATGAAGATGCAAAAGAAAGGCAACCATTTTTCAATAGACTCTACAAAGCTGTTGCTTGGAAATTAGTTGCTGTTGGAGGATTTAGTCCAAGTGTCAACCACGTAGAACTCTTAAACTCATCCATTCAGTCTGTAAAGGCAACATTAGATGTCGAATTTATTCCACTGAAAGAGCTCGCAGATTTACCTCAAAATAAAAGCTCTCAGGAAAATATAGTTTGTGAACTGAGATGCAAATCTGTATATTTGGGCACTGGCTGTGGGAAAAGTAAGGAAAATGCCAAAGCAGTTGCTTCAAGGGAAGCACTGAAACTATTTCTCAAGAAGAAAGTTATTGTGAAATTATGTAAAAGGAAATACAAAGGAAGAGAAATTGAAGATTTGGTGCTTCTTGATGAAGAATCGAAACCATTAAATTTACCTCCTGCTCTACGAAATCCTCAAGAAATACTGCATAACAGTGAACCTGTTACAGCCTATACTAGCAAATGATGTTTTATCACAATTAACTGAGTTATCTTTGTACAGTAAAGGAGAGTCCCAGATATTTTTTATTTCTTGGTTCTGTTTTGCAGAATAAATACCATTATTGTTGTTTTCAATTAGTAGTAAATGTAAATAATTCTTTAAAGATGTAAAGTGTGCAGAGATATGCCTTAAAATTTAGCACACTAGTGTGCTCTTTTATTTGCTAAATAGACTACTGAACTCTTATATTTTTTAATCAAGGTACAGTTTGCTGGTCAATGCAGTCTCATTTTGTAACTCCTACAATTTGGTAACAGTAATCCTCATTTTTGAACCCTGATTCTTTATAAACCATTAATAAAACACAAACAACAACCATTGTACCTAGATGGTAAAATGTTATTTAAAAATGGAAATATTTAATCACCTGCTTCATGTGTTGGTCATACTGTTCACATGCCTGTTTAAAAAGCAAAGTATTGATTTGGATTGTTTTAATTAAGTAGTGGTATTTAAATTTTAATTCAAAGAAGTATATGCTGGTCCTTTTTTAATATCAAACTTACAAATTGTCATTAAATCTTCAATTTTCTTACTTTACTAAAGTTTCTCAAAGCAGATTTAATATCCAAATTTGTGAAAAATCTCACATTCACTTTTTCAAATAAATATAGCTTTCTATACTAAGCATATTTTTATGTCTAATAATTTTGGGGAAAACTCTTGTGTTTTATGTAATGTACTGTTTTGAGCACTTTTAATGATCACAATGCTTTTTTATAACTGATATTTGCTTTTAAAAACTTAAATCTTGTGCTGTAAATTAACAAGTTCTGCAACAAATAGGTGCTAGTTTTATTAAAACATCTGCATTGCATTCTAATGTTATGTCTGTATTTTCAAATATGTTTTCTAGGTTTTAACAGATAAAACTTGTTGCACTAATTTACTGTGTAAGAGTGAAAACTGCAGTCTGGCATTAGTGCTTTTTTTTAAAGCAGAGCTCTATAGTGTGTTCTCTCTGTAATGTTGACTTATACCAGAGTCATTATATTTCAGGCATATCTCCATAAATTAAAATCAAATACCACTTTCATTGTGTAACAGCTACTGAGAAATAAAGCAATCTTACCAGGCTGTGATTCAGTAATTCACAAGCATTTATCAGAGCTTATTATTTGTTTCCTGGTCCAGTTAGAAGCTGTTGATATAATTTGACATGTTTTAAAAATAGTTAGCACTAAGAGAATTGGTTTTAGGAATGTATTTTTGCAATGGCTGGGGATCCTCTGTATGACCTGTGCTATCATTCTTCTAATTCAGTTTAAAGTTTAATACTTTAAATATTAAAATTATGAATCAAATCATGGCTTCTCTTGAGTTTTAGTCATTGATTTGCTGATTTTCAGAGATTTGATTTAAGAGACTGTTTCTCAGTGGCTACTTTCGGATTTGTGGACCAATTCCCAAAAGTGTTAGCAAAGGCTAGGCTGGCAGAGGATTCTGGGGTTTGAAATTCACAAATCTAGAAGTTGCCACAGTTTGGAAATTATTGTTTAAATTCAATATATTTTTAAAGCACTCTTTTTGCAAGTGTATTCTATTTGGTTTTAATGAATTTATTTTGGGAGGGTCTGAATGATCCATGAATATCTTTTGACAAGAACAAATAAGACTTTTATCAGTAGTTTCCCCTAACATTGAGATTTTTCTTAAAGCAATCTAAGGAATAGTTAGCCATTAATGATTTGAACATCAGGGCCAGAATATAAATGTTGACAAAAATAGTATATTATCATTTCATGTTTTACTACTTGAAACACAAGTAGAAATTACAGCAAAGTATTGCTTGAACTGCTAAAATAATGCAGTTCATCTGACCTCTAGAAATAAATTGGCTTTGTCCCTACATGTACAGTATGCCCTGTGCCCTTGGAAACCTTTCCAGAGAATTTGGGGGAGAGGGGTCAGAAGTAGTAAAAATGAGAGGAAGATGGTAGCTACTAGCGAAAGAAAGGACTGAAATAGAAGAGATCAATGTGATTTTTTAAAAAGTTGCATCCAGTGTAAATTACCTTAAATAAAGGCATTTGCTATTGTTAGGCTTCTGTTCAGATTTAAACAAATGTCTAAGAAAATGTAATATTTACGTATTCATCATAAGCCAGATAGAGATACTATTTGCTCTGAATTAGTGATATTTTGTGGTATTTTTTCTGCTAAAAGACTTATCAATCTAACCTGTGTTTGATTAAGAGTGGGGATGCTCTCAGTCAGGGAAACCTAGTATATCACTTCGGACCAGTGCCTATCTCTCTGTTCAAGCTAACTCACTTGATGTTGAAAAACATTGGAGAATGGTATGCTATAAATACTGCCTTCAGTGCCTGAATGAAGTGCTTATGTGGGTTATTACCCTGAAATCAGATATAATATTAAATCAGAGTAGAAAAAAAGAAAAATAGTGCCTTTAGTTAAAAGCACTTTAGCGTGTGCCTACATTTTGCTACAAATGTACATTTTTTCTTTTTTGTTTAATGGTATATTGTTACATTTTCTATATGAAAATGGATTGTTAATGAATACAAATGGAACTGGTAATTTTTAATGAAATGTTTCCTTGTGTTAAGAGGTTTTGTGACAGGTATGCTAGCTGAAAACTCATGAGCTAAATAACTGGGTAAAGGTAGTAGACTATAGTACACTGTATTTTAAGACACAGCCCCTTATCTGGCTTCATAGATTGAGTTAAACTAACATGGTTTGCTTCATTTTGGCTTTATGTGTTGTGCAAATTGAGCAACTCTGATTTGTAAACTAGGACGGACATGTATGGATCAGGCCAGTTTGAGTTTCTTCAATGGAGCAAACCATGGCTTAACACAATATGCATTTTACTTCCACTTTTATTGTTGAATTTAGCCAGATACGCATGTTCTTATCTCAACAAAAACTTGTGTCTCAATATACATGTCATTAACAGTTGATTCAGTGAAGATAAACCAAAATCTGTATTATGGTAATATTGCATCCAACTGTGATTTGTAATATAGGGCTTATTTCATACATCCATGAGATGAGAAGTTGTCCCCCAAGTTGCTACCACTTTCCTCCCATTGGCTATTGCTGCAAAGAATTAGACCCCAGAATTATTTAGTGGGTTATACCTTTTCCACCTCTCTTTAAGATTGCCTCTGGAATAGAGGCAGTCTTATAATGGCTTACAGGCCTAACATCTCTGATGGGATAAGGAAGTCTTTTAAGTAGTGAAATCAAAAAAACAAATTTAAGTAGTGAGATCAGAAAACCAAGTTGAGAACCATCTGTTCTCAAAAAAAGTTGGAGATACACTTCAGTATTGCCATGGATTGTTCAATTTCTAAATTGAGAAGATGGGCCTCCTCCAGTCATGCTTTATGAGCTACACATTATTTCCAAAACTGCTTCATATGTGGAACTTGGTGATGCTCAGAAGAAATTCAAAGGAGCTGCATGGGCCTCTGCATTTTTTTTTTTTGTCTTTCAGGTTGAAGCTTGTGTGTTGGTGTTTTTAAAAAATTGTACTGCAAGAAGCAGTGGTTGAAATTCTAATGAAAGTATTGGCATTTATCATATATGTCAAAGCTGCAAATACTGTATATTCTTGCTTTGATAATATGCAGAACTGTCTGGTATTTTTATAGTTAAATCAGGCAACAGTGAAAGGGGAGGAGAATAAGGAAAGCCTGGGGAAAAAGAAATCGGAAGTAAATAACCTGAAAGCTTAAATAATGAAGTAGGAAAATATGAACTTAAATTTATGTGTAACATTCAATTCCCTTTTCTAAAAGTTATATTAAAATTGAATTTAAATGAATATCAACATGATTTTAAAGAATAAATTCTATTTCTGTTTTCGCTATCTATTCCATTTCCTCTAAGGTGTCACTTAGTAGCTTGTAGCTGTAATTATCTCCCGGAGAGCCAAATGACCTTAGTAATTTCCATTGATTCCAGACAAACTCTGTTGTTTGTACAATATCCTAAAGGTAGGTGGCAGCACTTTACAGACCCCAGCCAATATCAGAAATGCTAAGCCTGGTTGGAAGTTTTATTTTTAAAAAATCATTTTCTTGCCAATTTTTTTAAAAATAGAAAAAAATATATAAAAACAAAATTTATCTATCTACTACAGTAATTATAATAGCAAAAAAATAAAATATCCTAAGCCAATGTAATTTATTTAAATATGCCAAATATTCATATTTCATGTTTATATTCATATAATCAATTATCTAGGCATGAGAATGTCTATTCTTCCAAATGGTTATGAAATCATAACAATTTTTCAGTTAGTAAAAAAAATGTCTTTTAAAAAATAGATAAGTCACACATTACTTGAATCCAGTCTTTGATATATCCAAATCAGTATAATTCTCTTGGCTATTCCCTGAACCTAACATAGCTAATTAGGACAATTTTTCTAAAAAAATTGTCAGATTCTACAGTTTTGGAATATAACATTACTCCAGAAAGAAACCCAAACCAGGTATGACCAAACAAAATAATTAATAAAAAATAATTGATTAATGATGATGATGGTAATAATAATAGAGTTGGAAGGGATCTTGGAGGTCTTCTAGTCCAACCCCCTTCTAAGGCAGGAAACCCTATACCATGTCGGACAAATGGCTGTCCAGTCTCTTTTTAAAAACTTCCACTGCATTCAACAGCTTCTGCAGGCAGGTTGTTCCACTGGTTAATTGGTCTGTCAGGAAATTTCTCCTTAGTTCTAGGTTGCTTCTCTCTGGTTAGTTTCCATCCATTATGAATTAATATACCTCAAATGTCGTATGTCTCTCACAGAATAAAATCTACCATCCTTTGCATACATTCTTTGAGGAATCCAAACATACAAACGTAACATTTTTTTAAAACTTGCATTCACTGATTTTCCATTATCAGGTATTCCAACCACTTATTCCATAATTATAAATATTAGTAATTTTGATTTTAAATATTTTGAGGAATATGTGGATGCTGCAATGGTCGTTAATGTGAAAAATGGTATAAGTCACTATTTTCAGTGCCACTGTAAGTTTGAACTGTTACTAAATGTTAAGTTGAGGATTATCTGTACGTATTTCAATTACATTGGGTTTTCTGGTTCTAAGGCTGTAATAAAGATAAAGAGATACATATTATACCTTTTCAATGAAGTCCATAATTATTTGATATTCAATTAAATTGTCATTCCACATATAGATGATAAAATGCCCAATTTTAGTTAAAGTCTAATCAATTAAAACCTTATAAAATGTGAGCTCAGCCAATTACATTCTTGACAATCTATCTTACCAGCTAAATAAAATCCCCATTTCTAGTTAAAATATGTATTGATCAAGGAGAAATGCTTGTTTCTCATTAATCTTACCCTACTAACTCCCTCTGAGATGAGGCTGGCCCCAAACCAGGAAGGCCCTTAAAACAAGGCTTTGTTAATTAGCTTTGGGGATCCCATGACAAAGTGGATCCTGTTAGAATTATATGGCTGTTAATGGAATGCACCCTGTTTGTGTTTTCCTGCTATTTTGTTTTTTTATTCTTGTTTTCATTTATTTTAACAGTTTTATGTTTTTGATTATTACGTATGCAGCAGAGTCAAAAATGATTAATTTCAATTCATTTATTAATGTACACAAAAATATATAATCTGGATATATAAACTTCCAAATATCTGGAAACATTTTTGCACGATCCAATCTGAGTCCATCACCAGGACCAGACATTTAGTCTTCCAAGTTTTTGGGCATGTGCTGGATGGAGCCCATCCTCAGAGAACTTCTCCATGTGTTCCCTGCATTTTTGGCATATATACTCCTAATTATTTAATATATTATTTTTATTCCAACACCCAACATCTTACCTTGATATCGGGTACTAAAAAATAAATCAGATTATTATCAATCAGTCTTAACATTTTCCAAACTGTTGAATAACCTTTTCAATTAAGGCAGTGATGTACAACAATTATCCAGAATTGCCAGGAAATTATCATCATTTACCTTTCGCAGGGTCTATGAGGCATTTACTCCTCTTTTCTAGCCACAAACCTTTAAACAACCCTTCTAGTTCGTTAATTACTCAGAAATTACATTCTTCAACCAATCCCAAACCCGCCTGCACGATATTGTTTGACTCAAGCAATGGGGAGTGGTGACATGCATATTTGCATAATATATGCAGGCAAATGAAAGATGAGAATCGCACTGAGGTTTTCTGATAGGAATTGTTCTCCTGTGTCCTTCCTCACTCCCTAACTAAAGGCCGTGATTAAGAAATAGCGTATATTTCGCGAAATCAAATAAGTAGAAAATATATTCTATTTTCCCGCTTTCGTTTTGCTCACTATAACCTACAAGATAAAAGGTCTAACACAGTTTTATATAGCTGAAAAGGACGTCATTGTCGTGTTAGCGTTCTGAAGACCTGCTCTCTAGGCTACTTGCGGAGGACTTGTTCCTCTTTGGGCTTCCTTGCCGCCTAGGGGAAAGTCCCCGGACCCCCGGCAGAGAGTGCCGTGCGCTTTGACGCGCGCAACCCTCTCACAAACTCACGCTTCTTCCGCCAAGAAGCCCCCCAGGGCCGAGCGGGTGAGTGCGAGAGGCGCTCTCGTCAGCTCCATAGTAACGCAGGTAGTGCGCGTGTGCTCCTTCCCATGGAGGCGGCCGCACCAACAAAACGGGGCTCATTCTTAGGACGCTTTTTTTTTTCTTGGCCGCCGTCTCTATGGAACTTTAACTGCGATTTCTGCATCGCAAGCACGTAGGTCTTGTAAACCAATGAATTTTTATCGGTCCCGGAAAGTGTAGAAAGACTAAAATCGTTGCGGTTGTATTTTTCTACGATTAGTCAATGCAAGGATTTTGTTCCTTGTTTTTTGAGCTATTGCACGTGTACATGACAAACAATATTTACACTAAAATCTTGTAAGTTTATATTCCTTGTCAGCGCGTTTGGGAGATGTTTCTCCGAGTGACCGAGTATAAATAAAATAAATCTTTTAAGAGCAGATTGACGTATGTCTGTCTATGGCACCCTTTCCTCCAGAGTCCAGGGAGTCTTTTGTAGGTTTCTGAATATTGCTCTAGAAATACTGTTTACTGTGTAATATGCAATTCCTGTTTTTTCGGCTACCTTCCCCAGCCAGGCCAGAGAAAACCATTGCTAAATATAAAAATGCACGGAGACAGCTCGCGAGCAAATTGCTTACTCTTCCTGGCGGCTCATTAGAAAAACCCAGTTTAAATCCGTAGTTTGCTGGTTTTCTCTTTACGAACCGTAAGCGCAGCATCACTTGACCCTTGGTAGTTTGCTAGTTTTCTCTGGTAGTTTGCTAGTTTTCTCTTTACGAACCGTAAGAGCAGCATTTTTTTTGCTCCTTTTTCGACTTAATTACATCGCGCCACCTAACTAGTTCCGGAAGCTGCGAGGGACGAGAGGGGGACCAGGAAGCTTAACTCTTGCCATCAAGGAATGAGGTTCTTTCGCGAGTGGATGAGGCGACTTAATGGTCGTTTGCTCACTCTCGCTCATTTCAGACGTTACCGCAGATCCCGTGTGACGCTGAGACTCAATGCAGCTGGGATGTCGTGAAAACCTTGCCTGGGAGTTACATTTGCTTTTCTTGAATTTGGCTACCCGCGATTCTTCTGTTTCCATGCCCGATTATAAAAAGAGGATGGATGAAAAAAGAGCCGTGGCCGGCTCGTGTTCGTAAGTATGCTTCTTTCCTATGGCTTTATTACTGCTCATCTCCCCGAGCGGAGAAAACTGGAGGGAAGAGTGGGAGCGGCCTAGGGCGGGGAGATAGCACGTTTCCTTGAGACCCGGCAGAGTCTAATTCTGACTCGGTCTCTTTAAATGAAATCCCGCCTTTTCCTCCCGCCCCGTTTGTCTTCTGACGTCCCACCATGTTGGACCAATGGCATAGGCCGTAAGGGGAAGGCGGGAGAATGTGAACCGGCCGCACCTTATAAGGACAGGGCCTTGCGCATGCGTACTCTGCGGATCGAAGGGGGTGCGAGGAAGGAAAAAGAGGCGGGGAGTTCCAAGTGAGGCAGGAGAGCATTTCTCTTAGCCCCCCCCCTTCGGCCGATTAAAGACGCAGCCACCTGAGAGTCTCCCTCACTGCCCCCTTTCCTCCCTTCCTGCCCTGGAGCGATCCGAGCGGGCTGAACGAAGAGGGAAGGGGGTGTCACGTCCGGTAACGATGTTGGGGTCGCCGGGGCAACAGCCCGGGGGGGCGGGGTCTGGGGCGACGGCCGGGGCAGCTGCCGGTTCTGCTGCCACTGCCGCCGGCGGGGCCGGGGGCGTCGCGAGCTTCCCGTGCGGAGGTGCGTCCGAGAGGCTGTTGGCGCGCTACGTGCAAGACTACCTGGAGTGCGTCGAGTCGTTGCCGCTGGACATGCAGAGGTTGGCCTCGCTCCTGCGCGAGATGGACACGCGCTGCCGCGGTGAGCAAGAGAGGCGCGAGCGCGACGGGGGGACGGGGGTTGAGCCGGTGACGGGCGCTGGCAACTGATTATGGCAACTGCTCTCCCCTCAGCTCAGTGGAAGCGCTCTTCCCCCTGAAGAGGAGGGGCGATTCCCTTCTCCTCCTCCCGACTCTGGGTTGGGGGCAGAGAAAATGGCCACCCTTCTTTTGCCCTCACCCCACCCTTGGGAAGAAGCCGGCCCGAGGAGGCTTCGTGTTAGGCCTTGAGGGAGCGCGAGGTGGGTGGCGGCCGGGGCCGCTCCGGCTTCTGGCGCTGACAGTGGCCCTGGTTCGCCGCGCGCACGCGGGCCCCTGTCACGGTCCCGCCAGTGAGGCGGAGACGAGGAGGCACGTTGCCTTGTTTGGGATGATGCTCCGGATGTGGCGAATGCGTGAAAATGTATCGTTCAGTCAGATCTTCCCTCGGTAGGCGGTTATGTTTCAGAGCTGGGGATAAACCTATGCTGCTTCAGCAGCTATATGAGAGTTAAGTAAGGTGACTCCCTTTTTTTTTGCTAGTCATTTGAGTGCCAGTCTTCAGAGAACATAAGTTTAACTCACTTGCTTCTAAGTAGTTTTTTAGTTGCCTCACAGTACTACAGTGTATCCAACCACCATAGAATGCAGGAAAGGCAATGTTACTTAAACAATGTTTAAAGGGGGCGGGTTGAAATATAAATGCCCAATTGTATAAGCAGACCCACGTACACGTGTTTTTATTATGAATTATAATATATATACTCTTTGTTAGTACATCAGTAGTAACAGAGAAGCTATTACAGTGTTTCTCAACCTTGACAATTTTAAGGCATGTGGACTTCAACTCCCAGAATTCCACAGCCAGCAATGCTGGCTGTGGAATTCTGGGAGTTGAAGTCCACATGCCTTAAAATTGACAAGGTTGAGAAACACTGAGCTAGTACATTTTTTTTCTTTTGGGGAAGGACGGTACTCCTCCACATTTAAACTCATTTGATTATCTTGTCCCCAGTGGGACTTTTTGCACCAAGATAACCGGAAGTGCAGGTCAGTCAAGAGAAAATAAGGTGTTGGCCCTTTTTTTTGAAGTGTGAATTACTTTGGGAGACAAGCACACAACAGACCAATTTATGAAAGAGTCTTACTGAGTTTAGAAGCATTTTACACTGGAAGAATATTGAGGATTGTCACTATAAACTTTTTTGTAGATAGTTGGATATAATTTTACTATGGTTTTGAATTGGGGCTAGTCTAAGCTCAGCCTACAGGGTTACTGTTGTGGAAAATTGGAGGTGTGGTGCCATGCATTGTACACCATCTTCAGATCCTAACAAAAAGATAGATATAAATTAAAAAAGCATTTTTGGTTTTACTGAATGTATTAAATAATAGTTTATTTTTGTGACCTTGAATAAGGCAATTTTGGCATATAACTATCCTGTCAAAGCTTTTGTTCCTATTTTCCTTCTAAAAGCTGCTGCAATTCACTCAATAATGAAACTTTATATTGGAGATAATAGAACATCAAATAGATTTAATAAACTCATTTTTGTGGCCTCCTGAATTATTTTCTGCAACCCAAAGCAGTAGCTAGAAACATTAAGCCCTGGAAAGCATAGTCTCGCATCTGATGAGGGGTATCCCAAAGAATGTGACATGAGTCCCTGCCCATATTCAATTGAGTTAACAAGTGAAACAAGAGCAAAGTAGACTGAGTGAGTGATAAAGGAGCATACTGGTTCATTGGTTCAAAAGCAATTTAAAGTGCCTCACCGCTCCATAGCAGGACATCAGCTGCCAGAAGTAGAATAGCAGTTTGCTGATCTTGTCAGGCACTGTGGAGCTAGCCCTGGCTTATTACTATAATTTACATTTTATATGTAATATTCATAAAATAGAAAACTATGATTTAGGGACTTTGAGTTTGATACTCTTGTGATGCTTTTCAACAGAAGCTTTGAAAGAAATTGATGAGGTGTATGAGAAATACAAAGCTGAAGATGACCCTGCACAGAAAAAGCGTTTGCAGCAATATCTTCAGCGGGCTTTGATCAACAGTCAAGAACTTGGAGATGAAAAAATCCAAATAGTTACTCAAATGCTTGAGTTAGTGGAGAACAGAGCCCGGCAGATAGAGTCCCACTCTCAGTGCTTTCAAGATCTGTCAGATACTGAAAAACCTATCGAAAAGTCAAAACAGGATACATGTCAACCAGAAAGATCTTCACGAAGACCCCGTCGGCAACGTACTAGTGAAAGCCGTGATATATGCCATATAGCAAATGGAATTGATGAATATGATGACCAGCCACCTAAAGAAAAAAGATCCAAATCTGCTAAGAAGAAAAAACGCTCTAAAGCTAAACAAGAAAGGGAAGCTTCACCAGTAGAATTTGCAGTTGACCCTAATGAGCCAACTTACTGTCTCTGTGACCAAGTGTCTTATGGAGAAATGATAGGCTGTGACAATGATCTGTGTCCCATTGAATGGTTTCATTTTTCATGTGTCGGACTCACTTATAAACCAAAGGGAAAATGGTATTGCCCAAAGTGCAGAGGAGACAATGAGAAGACTATGGATAAATGTACAGACAAATCCAAAAAGGATAGAAGATCAAGGTAGTAAATGCTCTAATGCACAGACAGCTGTGTGGTTTCTATAAAACTATTTAATAAGCAGATTAGTATTTTAGAATAATGCATAAAACTATGCAATAATTTTTAAGATGTACAATACTATTGGAATGTTCACAGATGTTAATACTGTTTTCTGCTTTTGAATATTCTGCACTAAAACCAAAATTTTCAAACGGTCACATGGGAGTAGCACAGAAAGAATTCAGGAATTCCAGATTCCTCATTCTTTTTAATTGTGGAATTATGGTAATGTCTGATGAGGAAAGACTGGAAAGATGATCATGTTAAAACTGATGTGTTAACAATTGTTGCAGTTGTAAATTTAGTTGAGTATAGCACATTTTGCTGAGAACATGTTAGTTCTATGATGCTTTTAGTCTTCAGAATTCTAAAGATAATATTTGAATCTATTGCCAAACTTTAAATTTTAAGCCTTTGAAAATATAAAGCCAGTTTTTCTTTGGTGTCTTCCATGTGATCTATCTATATGTCATTAACTTATTTTATATGAATCTTGTGGTGAGTTTATAAGTCTGTTTAAAGAAAGTATATTAAACAAATACTGGAAGAGTTGCAATCAGCATTAATTGCAGTCCTAAATTGAACTATTTGTTCTTTTCACTATGCTCTTCAGTTTCTTCAGTCCTTTTGTGCCATCTTGTTCATAATTCCTTGAATGTTTAAAAAAAAGTATGTAATCATGTTGCAAAATTTAGATATACAAAGAATACATAAATACTGTAAGATCAGTTTCTGAAGTAAGCTTGACTGGTCTTAATATTTTATTTTGCTTTCCAGGCTCTATGGGCTGAGCAAAAAACATTAATAGGAAAAAGTTGTTGTTCTCTAAAAGAGTAGTCCTATAGGCATAGAGAGAATATACATCTGAAATATAGCAACTCAATGAAATATTTTACTTTAATGACTATGACATGTCTTTGAAACAAATAGTAAAAGTATCCCGAAACTAAATATTTCTTTTATGGAACAGTTTTGAAATTGATGATATATACCTGTGGTCATTTGACTGCCTAACTTAATGTCATAGATGTTCCCAGATACTAATTTTATTTTTCTCTAGAAGATTAGAGTACTTCATTTTATTTATTAGACATAAGAGACTCTATGTAAGTAAATGTATTGTAAAGTAAAAAGATAAGCAGGCCAACAAAAAAGTTCCAGTATTGAATTCTTGTTCCTTTGGTGTGAAATATTTGGCAGTTTCTCACATTTTGAGGGAGGTTTGAAAAAAAGCTTGGATAGTACAAAAATTTCAAATTAAATATTCAAAAATGATTATTTTGAAAGCATGGTAGCACAGCTGCATCATGTGGACTAGAGACATTCAGCCATTTAACTAGAAATTGTACTACATAAGGATTGGATTATTTCATATGACTGTTATATCTATGCTGAATCTGAAATTGTGTCTCATGAATTAATTGTATCTAATAAATTGACCACAAGGTACCATGTTTTCCCAAAAATAAGACCCCCCCATTTTGGGGGGGCCGACAGCCCATCCAGCCAGCTCACTTCTTCTGCGGCTGAAGGAGCAGCTTCATTCTGCAGCTGAGAATGGAGCTTGGACCTGCATTTCACAGTCAAGAGGCCTTTCTGGAAATGCAGAAATGTAGGCCCAAGCTCCATTCTTAGCTGCAGAATGAAGCTGCTCCTTTGGCTGCAGAAGAAGTGGGCTGGCACGGCAAGTGTCGATCCATGGGAGGCCTGGCTGCAATGGTAGGCTCTACCCCCACCCTAGCTTGATTTTTAGGTGTGCGCTTTACCCCAAAACTAGGGCTTATTTTTTGGGTATGGCTTATATTAGGCCTAGCCCCCAAAAATCAAGCTAGGGCTTATTTTTTGGGTGGATCTTACTTTCGGGGAAACACAGTATGTCATGGTCAAATGGCATTGCTTTCTTCCATAAATATCATGTCTTACCTTGTAGGGGGACACTAATTGCACATTCATAATATAGCTATAATATGTTTTTATTTTGAATATTTCACATACCCCCAATATAGTTCTGCGATGGGCAGATAAATGAAATTCTAACTTACTAATATGTTTCTGTAGTTGCTACTTCTTATTTTTCTGAATGATCCAAGGAAAGAAATCACACAGCAATTTTATGATTGTGTGTAAAATTTGGAAGAATATTAAGTTTAATTGATTAATATGTGCACTACAACATCATTACCATAAAACAGACTACTTACATATTCATAGCTGTTTCTGGACACAATACTTCTGTATTGAGGGAATGATGTGCATTAATGTCTGATAAGATCAGCCACAATACCTGTGTCTCTACTTTTGAGAAAAAGTGATTCTTAGTCAACTACAATTAGTCAACTACATTAGTAAAATTATAATGCTTCCTATTTTGAGAAACTGTATTATTGCTATGAAGTTTTCTTTTGATTTTTTTTTAATATGTTGCTTGATATAATATGACAATCTCCTTGATTCAAAATTTTATAAGCATAAGCACATGGAAATTAGAAATGTGCCACCAGAATGTATCAGCTACTTGGATCTAATCTTTTGCATGCTACGATTTATGAATAAAAAATACTGGTTGTAAAATTGTATCTGAATTTTCCCCCAGTTTTTTCTATCATGCATTCATAGGCTGGAATCCAAAGAACTTCTATATACAGAAGGTACAGTGAGGGAAAAAATAATTTGATCCACTGCTGATTTTGTACGTTTGCCCACTGACAAAGAAATGATCAGTCTATAAATGTAATGGTAGATTTATTTTAAAAGTGAGAGACAGAATAACAAAGAAATCCAGAAAAACACATTTCAAAAAAGTTATAAATTGATTTGCATTTTAATGAGTGAAATAAGTATTTGACCCCTTGCAGTTGGCCACCAGGTTTGCACACATCTCAGGAGGAATTTTGTCTCACTCCGCTTTGCAGATTGTCTCCAAGTCATTAAGATTTCGAAGCTAACATTTGGCATCTCGAACCCTCAGCTCCCTCCACAGATTTTCTATGGGATTAAGGTCTTGAGACTGGCTAGGCCACTCCAGGACCTTATTGTGCTTCTTCTTGAGCCACTCCTTTGTTGCCTTGGCTATGTGTTTTGTGTCATTGTCATGCTGGAATACCCATCCACAACCCATTTTCAGTGCTCTGGCTGAGGGAAGGAGATTCTCACCCACGATTTGACGGTACATGGCCCTGTCCATCGTCCCTTTGATGCGGTGAAGTCCTGTCCCCTTAGCAGAAAAACACCCCCAAACATAATATTTCCATCTCCATGTTTGACAGTGGGGATGGTGTTCTTGGGGCCATAGGCAGCATTCCTCCTCAAACATAACGAGTTGAGTTGATGCCAAAGAGTTCAATTTTGGTCTCAGCTGACCACAACACTTTCACCCAGTTCTCCTCTGAATCATTCAGTTGTTCATTGGCAAACGTCAGACGAATCTGTACATGTGCTTTCTTGAGCAGGGGGACGTGGGCACTGCAGGATTTCAGTCCTTCACGGCATAGTGTGTTACCAGTTGTTTTCTTGGTAACTATGGTCCCAGCTGCCTTAAGATCATTGACAAGATCGTCCCGTGTAGTTCCTGGCTGATTCCTCACCGTTCTCATGATCATTGAAACTCCACGAGGTGAGATCTTGCATGGAGCCCCAGACCGAGGGAGATTGACAGTTATTTTGTGTTTCTTCTATTTGCGAATAATTGCACCAACTGTTGTCACCTTCTCACCAAGCTGCTTGACGATAGTCTCATAGCCCATTCCAGCCTTGTGTAGGTCTACAATCTTGTTCTTGACATCCTTGGACAGCTCTTTGGTCTTGGCTAAGTTTGGAATCTGATTGATTGATTGATTGATTGCTTCTGTGGACAGATGTCTTTTATACAGGGAACAAGCTGAGATTAGGAGCACCTCCCTTTAAGAGAATGCTCCTAATCTCAGCTCCTTACCTGTATAAAAGACACCTGGGAGCCAGAAATCTTGCTGATTGATAGGCGATCAAATACTTATTTCATTCATTAAAATGCAAATCAATTTATAACTTTTGAAATGTGTTTTTCTGGATTTTTTTTTTTTTTTTTTTTGCTATTCTGTCTCTCACTGTTAAAATAAACCTACCATTACAATTATTTTTCTATATGTCTGATACATGTCTTGAACAATAATTACAATACATTGTTAAAATGCTAGTGAAACTCGCATTTTGTATGAGTATTGAAGTTTTCATAATACCCTTAATTATTACTACGTTAAATGCACACTCATTTCAGGTTCCATAAATCTTATTGACAGCCTGCAACAGTCTTGTACATCAGAATAAGAAGAGTTCTGATGTGAAGTGTTATTGCCTTCTAATCTTCCAAATTTAACCGTGTAGCTTATAAAAAGATAAAGGTAAGAATAGTCAGAAATTGCAGTTTACATAGTAGCATATATTCTATGTTGCATCACACAATATAGTACCTAAAACATATCTGTGCATGTTTCAGTATAACCCAAAAAAGTATTAATGAGCAATATTTAGCATGACAAAAAGGGAAATTGCCTCACAAAATGGGCTAATAAGTAATAGTATATTTTATCATTAACTTGTTTTATAGTTGATATAAAAAAACTGGCACCTTTTCCTCTTGCAGAGAGAGAATACATGTTTTCTATGTTTTACTACAAAGTCTCTCTCTGCTTGCTGCTAGCCAAAAGTATTGACTTGTTTCATCTAATAATTACAAGAATATGTTAAATCATACATCAGAGTGTCTGTTGTATGAACTGTCATGTGAATGGCATTTACTTTTGTCAGTTTCAACTTACTTTATAGCAAATTGGGATTCTTGGGCAAAAGTGAGGAGTAGCAATACTTTTGCCTGAATCAGTGAAAAGTGTCAAACTTATCCAACAAATCCTAAAGAAACCCATCACCTAAAAAAATAATAATCTAGGTATATAAGTTGTGGAATAGATCCTTAACGTATGGAGATTTCCCCACTCCCCCTTTTCTGCAGAATGATAATGAGGTGAGTAAATCCTTTGTACAAACTTATTCTTTCTTTCACTCCAGTTGAGTTCAGTAATTCTTATGTTTATGACTGGTCAAAGTAGTCTCTGCATTCTCCTTGCATTCCTTTCAGTGAAGAGCTTCTTCTGTCATGGGGATTTTCCTTTAGTTTCTTGACTTTTTTACATGGGGAGTAGAGACTGAAAGATTCTCATCTTGCATAATTTTCTACAATGCCATATGGGGCTAAGAAAAAGGCAAAGCTGGTGGCAGCAGCTTCATTTTCTTCAGTTACTTTTGTACATTATCAGTTGTATCTTTCTCCAACTTGCAGATAATTATTGGGGAGAATGGAGAAATAATTTACAGGTAGGAAAATTAGTATTGTCTTTTTATGTTATGTGCAATTGCTTATTGTATTCTTTTAAATGTCATGTGCAATTGCTTTTAAAACAAAAATATTGTTAAACTATGTCAACTTTCATTTGTTTATGCTCATGATTTTATTTTGTTCAAATTCTCTTTTAAATATTTTCAAGTTCTTCTTCACTGCTTGATGAGTCTTCTCCAAACAAATCTTTTCCTATTGAATTTTCAGCAGTGTTTATGCTCATCATTTTCAAAGTGGTAAGAGTAGAGCAGTTGCTCAAGCCTAAAAGAACTGTCTTTTTGTCACAGGCAACAGTCATGCAAGAGATTTTGCTATCAAATGTAAAGATGGATATAACTGTGCCATTCTCCAAATCCCAGAAACTGACCTCACCTAAAGTGGGAGAGGGAAATGCATGTTACTACCTTTAGTTTGGCTTGGAAACTTCCTTCATTTTAATAAAAAAAACCTCTCTTGTGTTGGTTAATCCATAGCAGTAAAATTAAAAACCCTTTGGTATAATTTCTTCGTGGTAAATATAATAGAATATAAAATGCTGAAATTAATTCAATAATGGAATGAGACATTTTTGGTTATTTTTTGGCACTGCTACAGTTATGTCTGCCACTTTTATTCTTCAGAAGTATCCTGGTTAGTAGGTAAATTCAGATTTGTAACTAATTTATACATAGGCACATGCGTATCAAAAATATTTTTAATCTGTTTTTATATTCCATTCCCTAACATTTTTACTGAAGCCTGTGCTTCTTTGTTATGCAAATAGAATGTTATGCAAAATTCTTGTGGAATCTGTTTGGCTTGGATTAAATTTTGCAAAACAATAGCACTGTATAGCCAGTGTATAGCCAAAGTTAATGGATATTAGATTGTTAATATATCACTCTGGATTCAAACAGAGAAAGCATAATTCAGAACATATGAGGAGGCTTATGTCATACAGTTTGCAGTTACCTTTCCTAGGCTTACACAGCTTTAAAAAAAATTTCAGGAAAAAACCCATTGAATTAAAGAGTTGCTGACACATGCAGCACGATGTGTACTGAATCATCTTTTCCTTCTTTAACCACTGTAGACATAGTGCTAAATAATATTTCATTGATTAGAATTCATTAATAAACCACAGTGGCCTATGTTTTAACAGCAAGCTGAGCCATGAACCCTGTTCTATTAATGATGGTAATCTAAGACAAAATTTTAGAGAAAAAAAATTGAGGACGGGCATACAACTTGCAGTCTATGAGCTGAATGCATCTTATTTCTGGGGCCAGGATTTTCAGCATTGAATGAATAAAATGTTTTTCAATCTTTTAGAGGTATAAGGCATTAATTTCAGTTTTTGAAACCCACCCATTCCCAAAAAATCAGCCTGTTTTTTCATGTTTGTATAATACATAATGCATTCATTATAACTTCCAGATATAGGTACACCAGCAAATAATAGCGTACATTCTAAATACCCTTTAAAATGTGACTGTATATGGCAAACAGAAATTTCTTCTGTAAACTATGTCGATGTTTAGGATCAGAATAACAATAGCATATTAAGTTTAATGTTTTCACTAGAATTAGTTATAAATAACAGGTTATAATATTAAAAATCAAAAGAACATAGTTTGAACAATTTTTTTACCTACAAAAGAAATTATGAACAAACCTGCAAGTAGAATTGCTTTTGTTCCATCTAATATGTGCAATTTGCTATTCACAGTCAGATCAAGGCCTTCATAACCTTGCATTAATTTGTGTTTATGCTTAAATGGGTCCCAAATTTTAATCCTATAAACCACAAGAAAAAAAATGTATCAGTTTGGACATTATTTAGAATTTATAATATTGTAGATATAATTAACAACCTTAGCATTTCTTTTAACCTTATCTACTATTTTGTAAACAGAAAATCAGGAGAATAGCATATTGTACTCTGAGAAACAACTTGTTTAATAATTATTTTGTATATAGCATATTTTGTTAGATAATGACTTAGCCTTCCATGCTTCCAAGGTCAGTAAAATGAGGACCCAGAATGTAGGGGGCAATATGCTGACTCTGTAAACCACTTGCTGTAAAAGCACCATGATGCGGTATATAAGTCTAAGTGCTACTGCTATAATTAACTTTGGCAAAACTTTGAATAACTCCAGTGTCTGACTTGATTTACACTGGACTATTTAAATAACTTCTGGTTTTAGTAAAAGCAGTACATCTTAATTATATAATTGGATCCATCTTGCACATTTACATAAAAATATCTAATGCCTGTTATATTATTTTTGGTGGTATACTATGGTAAGTTTAGTAATTAATTGCTTTTAACATTCCTGGAAATTTGAAAAGAGTTCTATGATACATCAACTTCTTTTACATTAGTGGAGAAGGAAGTTACATTTGGAATATATAACCCCTGAAAGCTACCTCAAGTTGTTTCTGACTATTATGAATAAATGTCTATGTATCTAAACACAAGAATATCTCACTAGATATTATTAACATTACTATGAAGCTTAAAGCTGTGGTATTTGCATACTCTCATCAGTTGTCTTCAAAATGGGTTCAAGGAATAGCTGCATTTATGTTTTCAATCTTTGGCAGTTTCTGTATGTAATAAAAATGTCCAACTTTCTCTTCAATTGTTATAAAATATTGTATAGTATTAATATTCCATGTGTCTCCAGCTACAGGTAGTCCTCGACTTACAACTATTCATTTAGTGACCATTCGAAGTTACAACACTGAAAAATGTGACTTATGACTGTTTTTCACACTTAGTCGTTGCAGCATCCCCATGGTGACATGATCAAAATTCAGGTGTTTGGCAACTGGCTCATATTTATGACAGTTGCAATGTCTTGAGATCATGTGATCATCTTGTTACCTTCTGACAAGTCAATGGGGAAGCCAGATTCATTTAACAATTGTATTAGTAATTGAACAACTGCAATGATTCTCTTAACTGTTGCAAGAAAGGTGGTAAAATAGGGCAAAGCTCACTTAATAACTGTCTCACTTAGCAACAGAAACTTTGGGCTCAATTGTCCTAAGTTGAGGACTACCGGTTTATATGTACAGGTAGTCCTCGGCTTACAACAGTTTGAAGTTACAGTGGCACTGAAAAAAGTGACATGATCATTTTTCAGACATATGACCGCCGCAACATCCCCATGTCACGTGATTTACATTCAGAAGCTTGACACTGGCTCACATTTATGATGGTTGCAGAGTCTGGAGTCATGTGATCCCCTTTTTGCGACCTGACAAGCAAATTCAATGGTGAAACCAGATTCATTAAATAACCGTGTTACTAATTTAAGAACTGCAGTGATTCACTTAACAAATGTGGCGAGAAAAGTCGTAAAATGGGGCAAAACTCACTTAAGAAATTTCTCACTTAAGAAATTTTGGGCTCAATTGTGGTCGTAAGCTGAGGACTACATGTATTCCCATGTTGCTTCAGTATCTTTGTGGAATGCAACCAAACAATTTATTGGGCACATTACAAATCTTTCTAGTAATAACTAAATTTTAGTATTTACTTACAGGTTATCCACCATCACTCCAAAAATTATTCTACTGCCATCTGCAGTAATGGCTGTACAACAGACATTAGGCTCATTTTTTAATCTTTTTCTAACCTATATTTTTATAACAGACAAAAATAAATTGAGTAAATTGGTTATGGGTAACTTTACATACAAGCTATAGATATATAGATTTGCAGGTGTATAACTGCAGGTAATGTTTTCCTGTTCATCCTTATTCTTCCAGAACGTGGCTGTATTGTGGAAAGGCAAGGAATGAAGGAATAATGGCTGAAGTAAAATGCCCAAATGTCAAGAGCCACACTTCAAAACTGGGCAGGGCCAGGACCCTCTTGGGAAGGAGGTTTGAGATTTTTAAGGAATAAAAGATATCTGTCATCTGCAACATTAAGACTATGCTACCTATTTTACTCCTTCCACGTGGCTCAAAATGCAAAATAAAGAGTTGAAATATTTAGCTCCTGTTCTTGGACTTACAAAAAAGATGTTTATTGGACATTTTTACAACTGTGCTAAAAAGGTATTGTAGTAGATCTGGGTATTTGAATTATAGAAGGAATAGTTTGATGATAGATAACCTAATTCAAACATTCCAAAATTAGGAATCATTTTAAACTAATGGAAATGGGTAAGATGAATTATGTTCACAAACTATTTGCAGAGAGCTTAGATTGTTTATTGTCTTTTGATTTGGAAATCACGATACTACAAAGTTTTCTTGTTGCCGAAGTATTGCAGAAATTATACCTTTCCTGTGATTAAATTCCATAGTGTTACATAGCTGATTTTTTCCTCTTCGCTGTAATTGGAAAGCACTAGATAATGCCCAGTATATGTTAAGGCAGCATTATATAAAAAAAGCATTGATTCTTTGCTCTCAAGTGTGTGGAGATAGGACATGGTTTCCAAGCTGAACACTGATAGATGATGTGCATAGTAGGAACACACAGCTATCTGTGAAAAGAGAAAGGCAGTTATTTTAAAAACAATAAAACATCTTTAGCATCTGGCAAAAATAAATTAAGCAACAAGGCTCCCAGTTCAAAGGTTTTGACCTTGTTACTTATTAGGGGGAACAGACAAGAACTAGGGAGCAATTTTTTTCACACTGTAATAGGACATGTTGGATAACTTTGTTTATGAAATTAATTAAGCACTAAACCTTGACAATATACAGTACTGTGCAAAAATATTGGGCAGTTTTGTAGAAATGCTGTAAATGCTTCAGAAATAGAAGTGTTAATAGTTTATTTTTATCAGTTAACAAAATGGAAAGTAAATGAACAGAAGAGAACTCCAAATCAATATTTGGTGTGTGACCATCCTTGCCTTCAAAATAACATCAATTCTAGGTACATTTGCACACAGTTTATGAAGAAACTTAGCAAGGTTCCTTCAAGACTGTTCTAAACAGTGCTTTTTTTTCTTAAAAAAAAAAAAGGTGCCGGAACTCACACACGTCATACAACCCGCCTTGCCTACCCTACAAGGTTCCATCCAAAAAAGGTGCCGGAACTCCATTCTGGGCGTTCTATGAGAAAAAAAACCCTGGTTCTAAATATCCAATATCTCCGGAAGACATCTGGTTAGGAAAGGCTCCCAAAGCCTTTCACCTAAAGCAATGAGAGGTCCTCGTGTTCTCTGAGCTTGGTTCTTTTTTTGCAGATATTTCATTACCCAAACTAGGTAATGACTAGTGACTAGCACTGATGAAGTTACCTAGTTAGGGTAATGAAACATCTGTAAGAAAACAACCAAGCTCAGAGAGCACCAAGGACCCCCTGCCTTTATTTCTTGGGATTGAAGACCCTATTGATCCTGACCAAATCTCCAACTCCATTTGCAGAAATGCAGCCCCAAATGCAAGGAAGCTCCACCATGCTTCACTGTTGCCTGCGGACACTCATTACTGTACCCCTCTCCAGCCCCTCTCCAGCCCTCTCCAGGAGATAAACTATCTCCTGCTACAGCCAGATATTTCAAATTTTCACTCAGTCCAGGTCACTTGCTGCCATTTTCTGCACCCCAGACCTTATGTTTTCATGCATATTTGAGTCATTTAGCCTTGTTTCTACACCGGAAGTATGGCTTTTTGGCTGCAATTCCTCCATGAAGACCACTTCTAGCCAATCCTCTCTGGACAGTAGATGGGTATACCTGGGTCCCACTGGTTTCCACCAGTTCTGTGCTGATGGCATTGCTGGACATCTTCAGATGTTAAAAGGAAATAAGCATGATGTGTCTTTTCATTTGCTGCATTAAGTTTCCTTGGGCAACCACTGCATCTACAGTCCTCAGTGTTGCCTGTTTCTTTGTGCTTCTTCAAAAGAACTTGAACAACACATCTTGAAACCTCAGTCTGCTTTGAAATCTTTGCCTGGGAAAGGCTTTGCTGATGCAGTATAACTGCCTTTTGTCTTGTTCTTGTGCTGTTTTGCTGTAATGTATGATCTGTGACATGAAACCCTCTTCGAAAACCTCGCCTGAGTAGCAGAGTTTGGCTATTCCTCACCCACATTTAAGCTACACAGCTGTTTCTGTTTCAGTTAATGACTGTTTCAACCTACATATGAAATTGATAATCATTAGCATCTGCTTGGTATAATTGGTTAATCATACACCTAACTCTAATCCTACAGAATCCCTGACTTTGTGCAAGTGTAAGAATTGATGCTGTTTTAAAGGCAAAGAGTGGTCACACTAAATATTGAATTGACTTGGATTTCTCTTCTGTTCATTTACTTTCCATTTTGTTAATTAATAAAAATAAACTATTAACACTTCTATTTCTGAAAGCATTCTTAATTTATAGCATTTTTGTACAATTGCCTATTCACACAGGGCTCCTTTATATCAGCAGGACTTACATGAAAATATTTTTTATTTTTTATATATTTAATACATTTCTATAGCTATGACAATGAGTGGGGTACTACATTGTTCCATTTTAAAACAAACTAAATTAAACTCAAAAGAATTACTGCAATATGCTTTATGTTGGCCTGCACAGAAATGTATCCAGGAGTTGCAATTGGTGGAGAATGTAGCAGTTAAGACTGTTATACACAGGATCTTTGAATACTAAGTATACAAGTAGCCCATGTTGAGAAACTGCCTTGTTTGTCATAATTGGGACTGGAATTTCCATCACTAAGCGATGAAGTCATAAAACATGATGTTATGTGACCATCGCTTAGCAACAGCAATCCCAGCAGTCCCCATTGCCATCAAGTGTGAACCTCACATGACCATGATGTATGAAGAAGCAAGAAGCATGAATCCAGAAGGACTTTACAAATTTGCTTATGCCCTTGAAACAATCATAGGCAAGCAGTCCAGTGGTCAAAAACTACAGGCAGGCAGGTTGGGACTATGGAGTACAAGCAGGCAGGAGCCCTGGATGGGTACTAGGAATAACAGGTAGGCGCATAATGTTGTGTATTGGGCAAGTGGCCGAATGCTATGGAGTATGAGATTCTCATGTCTCATGGGTGCTCAGGAGAAAATTTGCAATCTTGGACTTGCAACCTCCTGCCGACTACCCCATTGACTTGTGGGAAGCCAGCAGGGAAGGTCGCAAATGGCAATCACATGACTGCAGGGTTCTGCAACTGTCATAATTTCATGCTGGTTGCCAAGCATCCAAACAATGATCTTGTGACCGTGACTGTGGGAATGCTACAACTTTGAAGACTGGTCATACTTTCCCCTCATTCAGCACCATCGTAACTTCAAATGTCATTGGACAAACCAAGGACTACCTGTGTTCTAAAAATACATTTTACAATGTCAAATGAGTTATGTTTTAACATGTTTATAAAACAAAAGAATACATGTAGGATATTAAGCACGTTAACATTTAAATAAGTATGTATAAATACGAATAAATAGTGTCTTGATAAGTACAACTTGCCTTCTCATCTCCACTCAGGAGGAACTGATCAATAGTATTATTCTTCTCTTTAGCTAGTTTTTGTAATGTCTCCACCTCCAGTTGTAATGCCCTTTCTTTTTTCCTTTTCTTTCCAGTATTGGTTTCATTTCGCTTTTCCCAGGGATGCCATAATGCTAAGAGAAAGGCATACGTAAAAAAACTATGGCATTACACATGAAATACAAGTAATTATTGTGATTTTTAATAGTGGTGTTAAAGCACTATAACAGCTATTTTGTCTCAGCAGAGTCAAAAGTTAAGCAATCTTGGACTTTCATTGGTATTTGAAGACTTCTCGGAAAAAGTAAGATTGTAGGTTAGACTGAGGAAGTTAAAAGAAATTAAAAAGAGCAATAGCAATTTATAAATAGCAATTGCACTTAGACTTATATACCACTTCATAATGCTTTTACAACACACTCTAAGCAGTTTACAAAGTCAGCATATTGCCCCCAACAATCTGGGTCCTCATTTTACTGACCTTGGAAGGATGGAGGGCTGAGTCAACCTTGAGCTGATCAGGATTGAACTCCTGGCAGCAGAATGCAGAGTTAGCCTGCAATACTGCATTCTAATCACTGCGCCAAAACAATACCCTTCCCCTAGAGAAGGAGCCAATACTATAGTTATCCCTGAAACAAAGTTGGGAGAAGGAACCCATCAAATCTACGACAACTGGAGCAGTTGCTAGTTGAAAATTGTACAGGTCTTATTTAGAGCTACAGATAATGCTTAACTGCCATTATTGCCTCAAAATATTAGAGTAATAAAGAATAGTGGATGCTATTTGTGTCAGTTTCAACTTATTTCACAGCAAATTGGGATTCTATGGGAATATGGGGAGATCAATACTTTTGCCCACAAATAATAGTTTCAGATTTCTGCAAAGACATGATTGTATCCATTAAATCAAGGGTCCCCAACCTCCGGGTTGCAGACCAGTGCCGGTCTGCGGCCAGCAAAGAGCCAGACTGCGGAAGTGAGTGAAACCACACACACCAGTCCCTGGAAAAAACACCCTCCATGGAATCGGTCCCCAATGCCCAAAAGATTGGGAGCCGTTGCATTAAATCAGAAATTGAATTCTAGTTGTGCTTTTCAATAAGATGGCTTACAAATTACTCTTGGTAAGGTATGTTTAGATAAATATTTAATTATTTAATTTCTATAGCTGCCCAACTCAACCAAATGACTCTGGGCATCTTACAATTCTAAAATTATAAAAAAAAATAAAGCAATAAAAATCATTCACAAAATAAATACAAACAGCGGCCTTGATGATTAATCAACTAATAGGAAAGCCAAGTAACAGAACCCTTAACACATTCTGAGTCCCAGGCCTGGATTTTAAAGCTTTGCAAAAAGCCAACAGGGTTGGGGCTTAAGGTTAGTGTTGCCTTCCATAAATGGATAATTAGGCCAGGATCCATAGTGCTATTTTCTGCTTTCTCAGTGAACTGTATCTACTGATACGTATTTTAAAAGTTTCCTCAATTTTTAAAATCTATCTGCTATTGAGTGTGTGTGTGTGCGAGAGAGTGTCGGCTTCTATTATATATGAAAATGGAAGAGGGTTACTACTAAATACAATTTAGCCTTCCAAACATGATTATTTAACGTAACTTTATTTTTACAAGCAGGGCAATTACTAAAGCAATCTGAAACCTTTCTGTTATATTATTTTTTTAAACTGGTGAAAGAGCACTCATAGTAATTGCTCCTTTGTTGCACACCTGGATCTAAATCAGAAATAGACCTAGTATCTCAACAGATTTGTGAGGGCTTGGTTTGGATTTGAGTTTAGTTGGTAAAACCAATTTTCCTCATTTTTAGATGGAGTGGTAATAAGGCTGTAGCTCAGGGGTAGTCAGCCTTGGCTCTTTTATGACTCGTGGACTTCAACTCCCAGAATTCCTGAGCCAGCTAAGCTGGCTCAGGAATTCTGGGAATTGAAGTCCACGAGTCATAAAAGAGCCAAGGTTGACTACCCCTCCTGTAGCTTATACCAAACTATTCAGGCTTGGCAGGTTTACATGTCAGAGATAAAGAACTTACTTTGCACTAAACAGCATAAGTTGTGTTGGCTACAGGGAAAAGGGAATGTTGAATAAGCAATGTCTAATTGTCTGCCTGTTCTGCAAATTTACATTAAAAATTTAGTTTCAGTAAACTAAGCAGCAAATCCATGCTAATGCATAACTGGTATGCCTGTCACCATCTCAATCAGACAACTGAATAAGAATGCATATCTAAAGACAGTTCAGCTTATTCAATCACCTCTTTATGCTTATATAAAATTGCCCAAGGCACAAAAATTACAAAACCAGAAAGCTTCCTCAAGTAGCTCCTTCAAATAATAATTGACAGCTTCCAGTCTCCCAGGTGTGAGACAATACATGAAAATTTAAAATCATAGGGTTTCTCATAGGCAGCTATCACCTTGATAGGTTATAAATATGCCAGTCTTTAACAACATACCATTGACATAGAGTTACAATCAGATTTGTCATTCTTGCCCAGAAACATCCTTCCGAGATACCACTTCACTTAGCCAGATGCCTCAATGCATAACAGCCCCTAAATTTAGAACGGCCTTGTCTTTGGCTTGATTCAATGCCGTTCCAAAAGCAGTCATTGCGGGAAATACTAGAACATCCCTTTCGAGCAGTTCTATTGTACTGCTGCCTCTGTGCTGACACTCATCAGGAATTAGTATTCCCACTCATCATCAGACACCCTGGTTGCACTGATTTATTGTCTCAATTTGTTACTATCAGATCATTTGGATTCTACTTTGGGGATAGCAGCCAGATATTGTTAAATGGTTTATATAACATAATTTTTCTTCCTTCTAGATATTTTCCACATTTCGAATAGAGCTGTCTATTCACTCTCTCATAACAATATATTACAGGGTATCATTATTGTCAATTGACTTATTTTAATTAGCTGCCAGACTTATTTTAACAATATAGTCACTATAGAAGTCTAAATTTTAGATTTGAAATCATAATCACTTGTCACGTATTTTTCTTTCTTACGCATTATCTTACTGCATCTTTTCTAGATGTAATATTACTATTAATTTTTTTTCATGGATTTTATTTATTTAATTATTTTTCAATTTTATATAGCCACCCATCTCATGAGTAGTGACTCTGGGTGGTGGACAATACTCAGTAAAAAAGAATTCATATGTAAAAACAGACATTTAATCATCTCTATTTTAATGCTGATTTTTATATTTTTAAAACTAAAAATGTACAAACCCAAAGCAGAGATAGTGAGTACAGATAGTCCTCGACTTATACTCGGTCACTTAGCAACCATTCAGGATTACAACGGACTTCCCAAAAGGTACTTAAGACTCAATATTAAACTTTTTTCGGCTTACTCCCCAGTGGTCACATGACCGCATTTCAGATATTCAGCAAATGACCTGCATTTATGCCTATTTGCAGCGTACCACAGTCACTTGATTTTTGTCAAAAACTGGCATTTTTGACACGTTCCCTCAGACCCCATTCCTAGGGAAAGAAGTCCCCCAAAACCATAAATCTGGGGAATTCCATTCCCAACCCAGAAATGGAGTCAGGCAGCTCAGGTACAGAAGCTGCTATACAGCAAGGAGGCTGGTATTTTAGCAATAGGAGAGGAGAGGAGAATATTTTATTGGCCAAATGTGATTGGACATACAAGAAATTTGTTTGCAGTGCATAAGTCTCACTGTATATACAAACAAAGTAATATGATCATAAGTTACCAATAGAAGGTAGTAGAAAAGATGAGAAGGATAATAGAATACAGTCATACTACATGGTTAAATAGACAGAAGACAGTACTGTGGTAATTAGATATTCAGCAGAGTGATGGCACGAAGGGAAAAAACTGTCTGGGTCTAGTTGTTTTAACATACAATGCCCTATAGCGGCGTCCTGAGGGGAGGAATTGAAAGAGTGTATGTCCAGCATGTGAGGGGTCTGTAGTTATTTTCTCAGTCCTCCTTCTGAACCATGCAGTATACAGGTCCACAATGGAAGGCAGGCTGGTTGCAATTAACTATCCATTAAAGTCTGTATCTGTCATGTTAAACCAGATAGTTATAGAAGTATAAATGACAGACTCAATAATTCCTCTGTAGAACTGTACCAACAGCTCCTGGGGCAGTCTGAATTTTCTGAATTGACGCAGGAAGAACATTCTTTGTTGTGCCTTTTTAATGATGGTTCTAATGTTAGGTGTCCATTTCAAATCCTGGGAGATTATAATTATACTTTAGATTGGCAATTTTATTATTCTAAATTCTTAAACAAGTCTTATACAAATTGCATAATGGCTTATATTAATTTTATGTCCAAAATTCTTAAACTTACAATTTTACATGTATTTTGTGACTTTATAGCCTTTTCATTTTAGACAATTTTTGTGCTGTATAGGCTGCATTGATATCAGTGTGCCTTTCCCCCCCTCCCCAATACTTGTTTTGCTGGTCAGTGACCAAATGACTGATTTCCTTAGGCATGGAGGGTGGGGGTGGAGTGGGAATAAATACCTAAGCATGAATTACTCCTTGAGAACAATTGAATTAAGGCAAAAATCAAGCAACAGTTTTGAAAGTAGCCAGTAATTTTAAAATATCTAAAAAAAATTAGATACTGCAAAGATTGATTGAAGATTGATAGATAGTTCAATTAAATTAGATATTTCAGAACTGTAATTTATTTTACTTTTTCTCTGCTCTCTGCCTGCCTGTAATATTTCTTCAAATGCTTGCAATGTTCTCAAGTAACTGTTTAATAAAACAGAATTGTACCTATTCTGCATTTTAGCTGTATATGTACATGATTGTCAAATGGATCACACAGGCCAAGAACAAGTTTCTGTATGTCTCCAAAATGCAAGTTATTTTAAATCAGTTATGTTAACTATGTATTAAAAATTAAGCACTTCTAGAAAGCATGCCTACACAACATGTGGCCTGCCAAGCAATGTTGAGTGGCCTACCAGCAGTTTTTAAAAAGTGTTAAATTCACCTGTGCCCCAAAAGAGGCACTGCCAAGCATCTCCAAGCCTCAGTGCCACCCTCAGCTCCAGTACTTGCTTTGCTCAGCTAGCCACAAAACACCCGTAAAACGTTAAAGGTAAAGCATTAAACTTGGATCAGAAATACCAAGGTTCAAATCCCCAGCTGGACCATAGAGTTTAGCAAGTCACTCTGTTTCAACAAAACTGAAACAGTTATTGTTATTCAGAGGATAAAATGAAGGAACAAAATCACATGCACTCTTGTGAGCTTTCAAACAAAATGCAGGCCACAAATGCAAAGACAAAAATAATAAACCTGGGTTCTCTGTGGTTTCTCCAATTTACCAAGGAATGGTTTTAGGTTTCAGTTGTTATAAATTACTGCATAGAATTAGCTTTGACAATATAGCCTTTAAGTAGAATTAAATATTTGATACCTGTTTTTTCTTTATACAAAACTCCTTTGGGTCTCTTTATGTTGTCTTTGGATGAGGAATGGGTAGTGGCTTGAGTAGATTGCAAGACAAAATTTTCTTTGTATTCTGGTCTTAATCGATCCTTAATAAGTCCTGTCTCCAAGTTCCAAGTAACAAAATGGTCTCTGAAAATATAGTAAGAACCAGATAAAACAACCAACAATTGTACTATTTTTGATTAGAGATTCTATTGACTTATAAACATTTAATTTGTAATAAAGCATAGGAGACAAATTTAAATTAAAAGTTTGTTGAAAAGTAAAAGAATGCCTGGGTTTACAATTTTCTGCTAAATTTATCTGCTAAAATTAATCCAAATATCCTAAGAATTGCCATTTTATGTTTATTTTTTATTTTCAGTCTCAAAACAGACTTGAGCTTTCTGATTTTGTGATATATACTAATTCCACTGATTTTAAAATTCACAAAAAAGCACAATTTTCTAAAAAAATTAATTGGTTAAGGTTTGAAGCTTAAAACTATTCTAAACTGGCCATAGTGATAGATGATGTAAATCAGGCATGTCAAACTTGCGACGTCATGTGACATCGCGCAACGTATTGGGCCGGTTTTGCCTTTGCCGGCAATGGGGTAGGCGTGGCTTCCACATGATGCGTCCGGCTCACGGGCTGGCAGTTTGACACCCCTGGTGTAAATAATGCAATTTCTTTTCACATTATGCAATTTCTCTTCAGATCATAAACATAATTACAATTTCACTTAGTGACTGCTTTGCTTAATGACTCAATTGCTGGCCCCAACTGAGGTCACTAAATGAAGACTACCTGTAATAAACTATGTGCTTTTTCAATAGCTGCAAAATGTTACCTGTTCTCAGAAAGACCAAGTAGAAGGCCTCCTTCTAGCATCTTGTATTCATTACTTGGAGAAGGAATTATGTAAAGCCCACTCTGCTTCTTTATGTACTTCTTTTTCAGGAGATCATAAATTAACAGCGTCTGGAATTGCATAAAAAATATTTCTGCTTGGTGTAGATGCAAAGTTGTAATACATGCCCATCTAGGAACCCTAAATGTTCCTGGTTTTCTCATACTAGGAGGTCTGAGGCCCTTCCTCGACAATCCCTACTGCCACACACATATCAACAATTAGATAATCCCTAATTCCATACATATATCCATCATTTTTTAGTATTCTGCTATCCACTATTTTTCCCTATAAAATAACTTTCTGGCACTCAATTATTCAGGAATAGATGAACTGATGGTTACCCATATTTTCTAGATTTAACTGACAAATTTAGACTTAAATCCATTAATTCCTTAAAGGATGTTTAAACCCTTTAATACTTTTACTTCTCAACATTTTGGATAAGGTTGTCCCCATTCACTACAAAATCGTTTTCTTATCAGACTCAGCTTTTTCTCAATACATCATTCATAAAATCAGCTGAAAAGCAAAGAATCTGTATTTATAGAAAAAAATGTGATTAGTACCTGGAAAATCGATCTTGGAGGATCTGCAAAGGAGGCTATTCCCTTGCCTGTAAGTATATAAAGTTTCATGTCTCTAGCCAGTACGATGTCTGTGTTCTCTGCCAGCCCCCTTTCCACCCTCACAGCATTACGTTTACACTTGGATTTTACAATATTCCATACTGTTATGGCTCCTGGGCTTGTGTTTCGGCACACAGCATACCTTTGGAAAGATAGATATAAATAATCTTGTTATTGCTATATTGCAAAAATGTCAAAACATTGTTATTTCTCTGTTGTTGAAAAAATGGCACGATTATTTTTTATAATTTGCCATATACTTGTGAATCACTATTCCTTCCATTGTATTTTACTGCAGTAAAATAAAAAGCATGGTTTTATATGGAAATAGGATAACTGGTAGTTTTGAGCTATGGAATTAGGATTAAGAATTGCAGTATGTGCAACTGAGTGATCAGCTGTATGCCTACCTGCTTCCCTTATCATGAGCTTCATTTATGTCCCAACTTTCCTCTAAGAGCTCAAGAGCTTACATGGGGATTTCCCCTCATTTTGGACCCACAACCAAAGATCTGTCTGATAGTGGATGGCAAGGAAGGCAAGTATGAATTCAAAATAACACTCATCTAATGAAAAGCAAATCAGACATAAAAAACCCAGTATCGAATGTATTTTTGTTTCTGAAATCAAGATGATGCAGATTAAAGTTGCATTATTTGAGAAAAACTGATGTTCTTTTCAGGTAAACTGAATGTTAGAATGAAAATATATTTCTGTATGTTTGTAAGTTATTGCTTCAATACAGTAAACTCTAAGATGTGTGTTCTATAAAAAGAATGATATGGCGCAAGGTTAATTTGGTTCAGTTTTATTCTATGCTTTATGACAACTGCCAGGAATGTAATCAGATGTATGAGCATCTAATCCTGAAATTCAATTCATTGCCTATAATGCCATACATATCCTCAATTCTGATATGCAAAAGCATTTTGTCAAAAGCTTCCAATGTTTTTAATACTGCATGTATCTATTTCACGGTTCCCATAAGAGTCTTCAGCTGTTATTCCAGGCTTGTTTAGCACACCATAAAATAAAATTACCATAATTAAATATAAAACTACTTAGTCTTCCAGTAATAAGGGTTACCTTGAAGTAAGATGGGTGGCCTATAAATGTTATAAATAAGTAAATAAATAAATGAAAATGTGGCAATGAGTATAAATGCAGACACTTCTGTTATGAAGGTCCAACTTCTAATTTCTTCTCAGTCCTACAGAAACTTTTGTAGCCTCTGGTTTTTCTACAAGCTTGCTTTTGTTATAAATACAAGCAAAATAGAAATGTTATGTTGGAAACAGGCTGCTTCAGTCTTCTGTCCTGCCTTTACAATTGGTGAAAAATATTCCAGGTCTCAAAGTGGTATAATTAATTTACTTCTAACATAAACATCCTTCCTATTCTGCCTTTTCTCGTTACCTGGGATAGTTTTTCATTGTCACAATATCCTGAATACCATTTGTTTTCTTTGCGTTGCTTGCAGTGACAGTCAAAGACTGGTCATTGATCTTGGAAGCCAAGTTCCAGGATCGAAGGTAATTATCTCCATCACAGAATGCTAAACAATATCGAAGGTCAGAGCATATACCTACAGATATATGAATTATGATAATTAGAAACGATCATTTTGGCCATTGTTCAGTAAATCTCAACATTCATTAATGCTTGTGTGATCATTTAAAAATATCAATTAGAGCTGGAGTTGGCCTAGGGAACACATTCATGAAAATACCATTAAAAAAACAATTGGCATTTAGAATAACTTTATCCCAAACCATAAACTTGAGGGTATCTGGAAAGGTCTGGAGGAGCAGTGCTTTGGCTAATAGAAGTATTCCTGCTACATATTTTTCATTGCCACGCTACCAGATATTGATCAAATTTCCTTCTCATTACCTATATGTGATTTTTCCTTCTTTATCTTTAGAAATTCAGGACATTTTATTGTCTTTGAGGATTTGCACATACCATGAGGTGTAAAAGTTTGTGAGTCCTTTTATTTTTCAGTATTTCTATATAAATATGATCTAAAATGTGATATGTTCTCTGCATACAGTAAGTCCTAAACTAAATAATATTTTCATTTATTTATTGAGGAAAATGATCCAAAACTGTATATATATTTTAAATTCATAGTGTGGTAATGATCGAGCAAAATTTAGATTGTTGGCTATTCTTGTATGAGCAACGTAGGCACACAGACGCTCTTTAGAATTCTGCTGAAGTTTTTAAAAATACAAGGCTATAAAAAGAAGATATATTTGAAAGAAAAAGTTATTAGTAGTATTATAAGAAAAAAGAAGTGAAATGTATAAAACAATACAAATAAAGAAAATGCCAAATTTCATCTATCACATGGGTAATTAATAAATTCTTTAGCTATGCAACTAACTAGATTATTTGTAATCTATTACTAGATTTTTCAGTAATATTGGTAACTGCATGGTGGACCATAATGGACAAAATTGAAAAGGTCGAGAGGACAGTAATGAAGACAAGGAAAATTCTTCCACCATTGATTCTAGTTAAATATATCTACCGTAGTTTAAATTATAAATGCTTTGTATAAAGCACTGCTGCCCATGTTCCCACTGACTATTCTTTTGCTACATTTTAATGATATTTTCACTTTTAAAACTCTCCTAATGACCTTTAAGGTACTGTCCATTAAAAATGGCATCTGATGAGATAGACTGTAGGGCTAATCTTAACATTGTAGGAACCTTAGAATAAAGATGTCCTGATAACCATTTTAAAGAACATTTCCTCATGAATACCATTGCATTATCCTTAGGCCATTGGTGAAGCAACCTAGATTTGCTTATAACTATTTTAGTAGGGATTTCCATCTTCTTTTAAAAGAAGTCTTGTCATATGAACCATTTACAATGGTTCATTGAATATTTAATGATGGCAGTCGGGACTTTTGGTCAGACCAGCTCCTATTGGCTTCTTGAGGCTCCTATGGATATGCCGTCTACCCTTCAATTACTGGGCACTCCCTCCTTAAACATGTAGGGTTAATGCTCTTTTCAAAGAACAATAGCTCTTTTATTCAATCTGTGTCTAGTATTTTTTGAAGGAGTGCTAGGCTTGGGTTTAAAACTAGCACTAGCAGTCTCTGGAGAAAGCCAGTTCTGGTTCTCTTGAGGTTCTATTCTATTAAGGTTTATTTAAATTCTGAAAAGTGAGGTTTTGTCAGCTGTGAGCATTACAGATGTTTTATTCCTTATGTTCATAATGGCTTTAGCCTGGTCATACTTTTTTTTTTTACTGATTTGTAGATTTTAGGTAGTTCATGGCAACCTCTCCACCCATGCTAGTCAATTTCTGAAAACTAATGCAGGATTGAATGGGAAGGAGCAGGCATCCCTATATTTTGATATTCTTGTTTACTTACTGAATAGGGAAAGCTTCTTATTTCTGGGTTATTATTACGCACTTTTTCTATAAAAAATGTTTGAAATTCATAGAAAAAAATACTTACCACCAACAGGAACTGAAGGAAATTTAGCCAAGTGTTTGTGATCTTCAGACTCCAAGTTCCATGATACAATCTCAGTAGTGCCAGTATTTGGAATAGGACTGAATGCAACAAGGTGAGATCCCAAATGATTTACAGCAAAAGTGTGAATATAATCATTGCAGCATCCCTTCAGACTATGAGCATAAGCAAAAGTATGGACATTGTAGAGCTCTATAAGAATAGTTTCTTGCTTTCGCATGAAAGGGCACCTATAACAAGATAATTAGTCTTAGATGAGATGCACTAATAGATACTCCTGAGTGTGTCTAAAAAAAGAGTTATAGAATAAAATAATACTATATGTAAACAATTAAAAATTATGAGTATCTAGCTTTATTGTGAAAGTATACAAATGTGTTTAAAACTAGTTCCATCAAATAAAATCTGAATCTGATATGGTTCTGGCATGATGTAATGGCTGAATCTACAAATCATGACTGGGCATAGTTTATTTAGTCCTGTTTTATTAAATAAACCATAATTGGCTATATCCACAAAACATCATATGTCAAAACCAAACAAATCATATTATTGCTTAGTCCAACGTGTGAATCTATTCCAAGTTTGTATTTAGGCGAATAGCTATTCGCTTCAAATGTCCTGTATATCAAATAGAACCAACCCAGTCCACATGATAAATAAAATAGCTTATAAACCACGTAACAAATCTTCATGTTGTTAAATTTTCTTGTGAGCTTACTAGATACCTAGATTAACTCAGATTTTTAATTTTTGTAAATAGCATTTTGAAATAATAAAAAATTGTAAGACCTATAAAGATTTTAGTATTCATAATGATTCTCAGGTCTAACTTAAAATCAACTACTGGTATTTAAAATAGATAAGAGTTTTTAAGCTTAATGAAGAAAATACATTTGAATATTGAGCAAACCAAAGTAAAATAATCTTTTGAGTTCTTTTAGGTATTTATATTCCTCTTAACAGTGTTTTCTCACTGCCTGAGACTTTATTTTTTTACATTCATTTACTGTAGCTAAGAAAAAGGAGTTTGAACTCTAATTTATTTCTTAGTAGATATATAGAGAATTGTAGTACAAATGACATTATACCTAGATTATACTACCAGTTCTCAAGAAACAAAAGAAAATTTCCTCACTAGGATCTAACCATGGTGCTAACCTGTCCTGTCATATCCTTTTTCTGCCACATCCCCTTAAATTTGTTTTTATCTTGTTCCTAGCCCATGAGTGAGATAGCCTTATATTGTCTTAACTGAAGCAATGATAAAGAGTATTTTTATTATTCTGACAGTGTTCAATGGCGGCCACAAGATGTATAAATTTTGTTAGGCTTTGTCACCTAGGAGGGAGTTTAGGGGGCTTCAGTGCCTTGAAACAAGTAACAGAGTCTGGGTCAAGATCATAATGAGAACGGCAGATTTGAAGCTGATATGGTTTTCTGCTGACTGAGGGATGTGTGAAAGTGACAAAGTGAGCCAGCTAGAAGAGAATAAAAGAATAATTTGGTGGTACTACCTGAAGATCACAAGAAAATAATCTTTAGTAATAGCCACCCCTTCAGCTGCAGCCATTCGTTCCTGGCTTTTCAGTTTAGCAACTATTTTTCCCTTTTTGCCACTGAAAACCATTGCTTCGCTTGCGCTTCTGCAAAAAAGAGGCAAAAATACAGATGGAAACCATCATATTGCGAAATCAATGGTTAAAAAAACCTTTTTAATCACAGATTCACATGTGGGTCACTAAGAATGCAAGTTTGAGCACTGTATTTTTAGTTTTTATTTTCAGAGCCATCAATAAGAAAAGATAAAGAACAAGATCTAAACCAATGAGCCAGGCAACTTTGGCCCTTTTCGCAATTCCTTCATCCCATATGCCTCCCTACTTGAAGTCTCACAAGTCATAAAACCAAGCAACACACTGATATGCCCCCCAAAAGTATTTGCCACCTCACGTATCTCTTCTTTATAACTATATTTCTTTGACTGTCCGGAAAGTTCATATGACTGGAATTATTCCCAGTTTCAAGTTCTAGTACATACTATATCATTTCTGATGAGGCTATACAATTCTGCCTCCCTAAATTACAATCCTTTGTTATTTAATTGAAATTCCTGACAGAGGAGAGTATTCTATATACTGTAACTCAGGATTCAGCATTCAGTTCTGATATTTACTTGTTTGTTTGTATCCCACCTTTATTATTGCAGGAAGAAGTAGAGAAAATCTTGTATTATAAAGTAGCACCTGAGCAATTCTCAAGCTAAATTTGCCATAACTATATGGAATCTATTATATTCTGCAAACCAAGAATTCCTGAACCAATAGCTTATGTTTATGTAGAAAATTTTAATAATTTATTGGCATGAAGTTAAGTTATACTAACCTATAGGCACATAGAACATAATCTTTTACTGAGTTCTTTGATACTAGTAGAGAATGAGTCTTGTGCATAGGTGCTTCTTCAGAAAAAAGATAGACTTCATGGAGCAGTTGGCATGAATTAACAAGATCAAAAACCTGAAACATTTGGGGATGAAAGGAAATAGAATCAACTAGCTGCCAGCCATTTCATATCAATTTAAAGGCCCATGTATATTTTCTCTCTTCTTTTTAAAACCTGCATGGTAGAATATAACAGGAAAAATAAAAAGGAAACAGTTATGCAGGAAGCCCTTGTTATCTGGGGTCTCATTAACTGCAGTTGGAAAATGTAGACCAGCTCTTCTAACCAGGGGTAAAGGTATCATGTATTTGTAGAGTTTTTTTAATGCATTTTATACATCTGTAGACTTTTATACATATGTAAGATATATTTTGCACTGCATTTCCTGTACTGTGAGAACCATTTTGGTGTGGTGGGATAGGCATTAGGCTAGAATCTGGGAGACCTGAATTCTAGTCCTACCTTGGGCACAAAGCCAGCTGGATGACTTTCTCTCAGCTCTAAGACGGAGGCAATGGAAAACCACTTTTGAAAAACCTTGTAAAGCAAACTGCAAGGACTTGTCCATACAGTCTCCAAGAATCAGAGCCAATTTAACAGAAAAAAAAATACTAGTCTCAGCCTAGTAGCTTGATTGGAATGGAACACTTGCAAATAAGCAGGGCCAGCTGTACAAGAAGCATTTTATTAACATATTGCTTCCAGAATCTATAACAAACCATTTATGTAAAATTGATTATCTACATCCACAAAAAAGGAATACTTAATTCCAAATGAAATTAGTGGCTTTTATTTTCTTTATATAATATATAGTTTCTGCCTACTGCATTGTTCCCCCAATGTTCCTGGGAAACTACCAAAGTATCTTGACATGGGAGGAGCTTTTCCATATTTAATGGATTTGCACAACTCTCTTAACTAAATTATAAATTTTGGCTCCTCCCTCTGAGAAGCAATGCTAACAAAATCATTTGTTTGTGATCTCTTTACAATTATGCATATCAATTGAGCAGAGGGCAAAAAATATTTCCAGCTAGGTCTAACCAGAGCATATAGACTTTTGAATTACTAAACCACTAACTCACCTGAATTTTGTCGTTCCCGCTAAAAAAAGCCAGCAGAAGTTGTCCATTCATTGCAGATGTTAGTATTGGTGTATCCAAAAACTCACCAGAAGTGTATACCACTTTTTGCATGGAAAGATCCCAAATTTTAATGGTGGTCTTGTCAGCCACAGCCACCAGTCTATTGTCCAAACATACCGTGATAGCACTAATATGTTTCCCAATTTCATGTAGAGTGAAGACAGCTTTGCCAAGAGTCAAATCCCACATTTTCAAAATACCATCTCTGGAAACTGTTGCAACTATGAGCGGTTTCTGGGTTTCTCCTATTCCTGCAATTCTGTCCAAATGACCTACAGATTCATGACAGCACAATTTTAGAATTTTCTCACAGGTAGAAGATTAATTTCAAAAAAATAAGCCTATTGACCTTTCTTTGAAGAGAAATTAATAGCTTTTTAGCCACATTATTGTTATAGCTCGTGTGATGAATACTTTGAGAATTATGCATGCCATATATTTAATCAATAATTTCTATTCTATCTTAAGATAGATATCTTAATATCTTGACATGAGAGGAGCTTTTTCATATTATTGTATTTGCACAACTCTCAACCAAATTACAACTTTTGGCTTCTCCCTCTGAGCAGTGATGCTAACAAAATCAAATTTTGATAATTAAGATTAGTTTTACTTTTCCTGGCATGATGGTAAATTTGAACACAATGAAAAATTGAAAATTAATACTTTTCTTGTGAAGGACTAGCCTGTTTCTTCAGATATTCTATAGATGTTTCTGCTCATTAATATCAAACATTAGAGTATCAAAAATGGAAATATTTAATACTGCAGAAAATCAGAAGTATTTTTAGATCAATGAATATTTTCATTTTCATTTCATTTTATTCAATTTGTATCCCGCCCTTCTCCCGAAGGACTCAGGGCGGATCACAACATTTTTTAAAAAACAAAGACAAACCCACACACCCCACCGAATAAAACCAAATTAAAACCAATATTTTAGTGTTGTGGTAATTAAAATTTCTAAGAAACCCAATTTAAAAATCCTCCCTAGGCCAGGCCCGCTTGTTGGAAAAGCCATGTCTTGAGGGCGCAGCGGAAAGTAAGGAGATCCGGAATCATCCGGATCTCGGGGGGTAGTTCATTCCAGAGGGCAGGGGCACCCACAGAGAAGGCCCTCCCCCTGGGGGTCGCCAGTCGACATTGCTTGGCCGACGGCACCCTGAGGAGACCCACTCTGTGGGAGCGTACCGGTCTATGGGAGGGAATCTGTGGCAGAAGGC